TTGTGTCCGCTGCACGGTGGAATTTGCTGGCTTTAATCGTAGACCTTTTTTTTTCGTTTCTTTTTTTTTTTTTCTTTTTTTTTTTTTTTTCTGTTTGATCCGTACTAACAAAGGGCGAGGTACCTGTTGTCGGTTTGGCTGATAGAGCGATTTCAGTTCAAATGAGTGTCGTTAAATCAAAACCAAACCAATTACTTACCACTTCGACTACCCAGCCAATCTCAAACCGTAGTAAAGCCAAAACCAAAGTAAGTGCCTGATTACTTTCGACACAATTGAAAACAGCTCTAAAACGTACGTCGATAGAAAAAAAAAAAAGTTTTCGAGCTGATGAAAATGATGATAAAAGAGCTGAAAATGATGCTCAAGGGTCGTCCAATATACCTCAAGTGAGTCGAATGTCTAACTTTGTAGTCGAATCGACTCACCGGAGGTTATGTCGTAAATAACAGCATCTATGTTGTAGCGCATTCTTCTTACTGGAAGTCACAAGTAAGAGGAAGTAAAGGTAACAAATGACAAACAGACGCGAGTTGGCTTGACTCGACTTATGAAATAGTCGAGTTGACAGTGCGAGACGATTTTTTTTAGACACGAGTTTAAATCTGACAGCTTACCCTTATTGCAGGTTTTACACCAAAGAACCTCATTTCCCTGGATCTAATGAAAGCTACGTGTTGGCAAAACACATACAAGAGAAATGGACCGAGTATGGCATCGACGTCACAATGAAAAAATACATCATCATGTTGTCTAGGCCAAAGAAACCTGGCGTTGTAGCTTTGTACAATGGATCTGAAGAGGTTCACCGTTCAGCACCTCAGGAGACATTTCTTATTCCTTCCGAGAACAACAGCCTTGTGGTTCCACCGTTTAACGCTTATGCACCATCTGGATCCGTGAAGGTCAGTGTATATTACTACCGGTCAGTAACTCGCGTATCTGTACTCCCTGTCCTGATGTCCATGGTTCGGTTCAGTTTGTTCCAGTTTCGCTAGTTACCAGCATTAAGAAACAAACATTACTCGGTCATTTTTCTATTGACTGGCACTGTTCAGATCTGTGGTTAGTTCCGCATATGCATCGACATACTTGCAATGGGGCTAATGATTATGAACACCAACGAGGCGATAGCCGAGTGGATCCGCAGACTACCTTGACAATGTAATGACGAAATTCATTGCCAATAACAGGACAGATGCACGAAAACTGACTTCAATTTTTTTATTACAAGAACAAATTGTCAAATTGTTCGCTCTCGCTCGTTGACGCATCGCATAAATTATGAATTCATGTGTCTGTCCGCTTATTCATGATGAAAATTAGCCAATGAGCGCGCGAGAATTTCTGCAGTTATTGTAACAAGGCCATTTTGCGGTTGTGTGCTTAGTTACCTGGCCTATGAATGCAAGTTAGGCTGGAGGTGACCTTGCTTTGATACAAATCTCTCTGTTTTTCTCATTTAAATGCGAACTAATTAGCATAATATCAACTTGATTTACACAACAAGAGCAGGTCACAAATAGGCCAGGTCACTAAACAGACAACTGTAAAATGGTCTATCATCGTCTATTTGCCGAATTGCCTTCTTTTTTCATCTCTTAGTTTACAAACCAAGCGTCTACTTTAAATAACTGTTCTATCGATCACTGTCTTGTTTGCTTTGAAAATTACAGGGTAAACTTGTGTACGCTAATTATGGAAGAGATGAGGACTTTGCTGAACTCAAAAAACTTGGTGTTAACTGCACTGGAAAAATTGTCATCATTCGATATGGGAAGGTTGGAAGGTCTTCTAAGGTTAGTGTAAAGGAAGAGCTGCCAAGTTGGGTGCAGCTAAGTGGGTGCAACAAAAAGGCAATGAAAACTGCAGACAATGCCTCTTCTCCTGCAAGCGAGAAACGCCATTTATATGATATGGTAAACTTCTCCAAGATGAAGAGAGGAATTCTGAATTAGCTCCCTGAGCCATCTAAAGTTTCAAAGCTTTAATAAGACATTGCATGCATGAAAGATGGTTGACGTTAGCACGCGAGAGTGGGAGAATGGATGCATTAATTTATCAGCAGGGGTTATGTTATAATTTAATATTTAAAGAACTAGCCTTTTGGTTCCGTTCTGGGGAGTATTGGTCTCTTTGGGCCAGTTTATTAACCTCGCACTTCCACTTGCTGCATAAACTTACAAAAGAGAGTCCGAATTTTCAAATATCAATCTTAGTGTAAATCCGTAGTTGAAAAAAATCTCGTAGCAGAATAATGTTAAGTATGCTAAAATCCTTTTTGCAATTTCTAAAAGCCAAAGCAACAAATAACTGCGCGAAATAACACCAAAGGCAATTTCCCAAAGGAACTCGAGAAAATTTATTTCGAAGTTCAGAGAAATTGTGCAAACGCAGGTAAAATTTCATCATCAGTTTCATTTCACCAGTACTTTCACGTGTTTCATATGAACTTCGAAATTTGTTTTCGACATTTGGTGTTGTTAGAAATGATTTCTTTTGAGAAGATATTTAAAACAGTGAGCCAAGATTTTGTAGTACGATGTAAATAATCTTGGTACAAAGTTTTTGTCCACTTGTTACTCGAACTTCTGGTGGATTCCTCCTGAATTGCACTCGCATTCATACGATCACCCCAGCGCCAAATCCTATCATTGTACGGGCACACGCGCTATTATTTGTTAATTTTGCACCCTGTCCAAATTAACTCTTGAATTGAATAGTGTCAAAAGTTCAACTTGTAAATAAATGACTTCAAAATATTCCTCTGACTTCCAAAACTCGCCCTTGTCCATTTTTGGATTTTCCCTTTCAAATTCTTCCAGCTTAGAGTCCTATAACATATACCTATTCTTTTGGATGATACTCTTTTCCATGTGCATAGAACAAACGAGCTCGCAAGGCAGGAGCTATTGGAGCGATATACTACATGGATCCCGAAGATTATGCAAAGCAAGGCGTTGATAAAGTGTATCCAAAATATAACTGGATGCCCAGCACTGGAGTGCAACGTGGGAACGTCAAGTCGTCTCCAATAAGAGGAGATCCACAGACCCCAGGCTACCCCTCAGTTGGTAGGAAAATTACTACATTAGTCCTGAATCTGTGCGCGGTATTTACGGCACGACTACTCTCTCTGACTTGCGGCATGCACTGATCCCAGGCAAATTAACACGCTGTATAGTCTATTATTTGTTGCTCATGATAAAGCCTAGATATTAAGTTAGTAACTTGTGGAGACTTACAAGGCACCAGCTGCCACAAAGAAATTTGGTGCCGTTTTCGAATTTAGGACATAAATGCTAATTGATATTCTGTTGGTTGTGTGTATAATTGCGATGATCACTGAAGTCTTCATGGTGTTCTATAGCTTATCAAGAGCCTTTAGACAAATATATTTCCTTTGGAGGACATTTCTTGTTCAAGAGGTGATTTTTAAAGCATGAATCCTGTTTGTTTTTAGAGGGGATGTACCGCTTGCCAAAAGAGGAAGCCAAGAAGCTTCTCCCTCAGATCCCAGTTCATCCGATATCATATGAGGACGCTGCGCCACTTTTAAGGTAACCACTGGGGGGAGTCTAGGGGGGGGGAGGGTTCGGTCGAACTCCCTAAATTTAAAAAAAAAATGAGCATTATAACACGCTGACTTGGCCTTAGAATGACGGAAATCCCATTTCCGAGGACCTCAATTTTAAACATTTTCTGGGAGAGGATGCTCCAGGACCCACCTACCCTGTATCTCGAAACCCCTTCTCTAAAATCCTATATCCGTTTGTTCTTTTATATTTATTCTTTCCTTCTCCTCTCAAATTTGAAGAAAGAAGTACGCAGGAGACGTAAAGCTTCTCTCCTCACTATTAACCCTCTCTCCAGCCCATTTCGGTCGGCGTGTACCTCTAACTCAAGCAAATATATGACTTGTTATGAAGCCTAAATTCTTCGGGTGTTTTTTTAACAGTCGAGTTTTCTTTAGAAGCAAAATCCAAAAGTGCTCGAATTGCTTAGTATGCTACTGACTCGTATACAGTCATATTGGACCATATTAGCCCAACTAACGCGCATCAGTATGCTTTATCGCTAAAGGAGGGGGTTGAGATGATGTTGTCGTTTAACGTCTCTCTTTTATTATTCAATGAATCAGTAATTTAGCTACTATGTTACTTAGAACTCTGGTTCGTAAAATGGTTCTGTCAAATTCATCATTCCAAGGAGGTTTGAACTTCTCATATGGAATAGAGATGGCGGAAAGTGATACCAGGTGAGTAACTAGCCAGAAAGAGAATCTAATAGTGAATCTGGAGTAATACAGTTTAAGTTTAATAAACATGACTATTTTACACGTTTTGAAGTATTTTAATACCCGTCAGGAGCCCGCACAAGCCCATTTGATTTTGGGATAATGCGCGGAACATTTAAAATATATACATCCGTATAAACACTCGACGGTAAAAAACTATGTCGGCATGTATTCCCAGATACAGAAACGTTATAGAATTCTTCGCTGATCATCTCAAGGTATTGTCTTTGTTTTGCCTTCTACTAGAGAGGTCCTTTTGAACGTTACCAATGAATTGTACGAGACAGATGTGTACAACGTGATGGGAATAATCAAAGGATCCACTTATCCTGGTAAGCTTTCTCATTCTACGAGGGAGTGCCAATTAAGCCGTATAACACTTACGCTAGTACTGAGCTTCAGTACACTGTATTCCTTTAATAAGCCCACTAAGATCTGGAATAAATGGAAAAAAATATTAAATCTTTGACAAAGGTGAGATGGAACTCACGAACTCCATATAATTTGATCACGCTTGTTCAACCGACTGCGCTTCGGGGCCAGAAGAGAGCGCTTCCTGGGAAGAATTGATGTTATGCGGCGGCAAGTGAACATTTGATAAAACAGCGTAATGTTTTTGATAGTCACGAAAGAAATTATATAGTAATTGGCGTGGATACTGAGATTTTTCCCTGAAACTCCATACACGCGACATACTAAATAGAGTTTGTAAATACAAGGCTATCGGCAGCCTTCAAGCAGATGACTAATTTCCTTTCTACGTTGGAAAAGTGTTCAACACTATATTTCAGTTAGGTCTCTCACATACAAATTCTCATTCTTTGTGTCCCTTTGTAGATGAACTTGTGTTGCTAGGTAATCATCGAGATGCTTGGGTATTTGGTGCTGCAGATGCATCAAGCGGCACTGCTGCCATGGTGGAGTTGTCCAGAGTTATTGGAGAGCAACTTAAGAAAGGTACAATTCAATTAAATGCCGAGGGTCGTGCCGGTCTGCTGAAGTGAAGAAAGAAATCGTCATTCATTTCCATGTGTCCGTCGGTGGGTTCTGTGGATGCCGGGAGAACACGAACCTAAATCTGTTGCTGAAAACCTGCCCATTTCTTATTTGGTTACGGGCACAGACGAGATTAGCTCTGCAGATTTGACTGACTAATTTGATCAGAATACATGAAAATCAAGTTATTACTTCGATGGATCAGATAAATTCTAATGTTCCATTTGGTGCATGCTGTTCAGGCAACTAATCAGATTCAAATCAAGAATAAACGTCCACTGATTCAAGGGGCGTTTCCTACGCGAGGCATTTTTGTGAGTTCAAGCTCTGATTGACTTGTTAATATAATACGTACTGCTGTTCTGACTACTTTCATCACAGTTTTGCAATACGCAGTAAAGTCAGATTGGATGTCAACACATGAAATGTCGCGTGCAGTTCTAAGGCTACTTGCACTGACTCACAATTTTCAATTTGGAAAACACTTATTGACAAATATTTCGTTTTAAATTAAGGATGGAAGCCAAAACGCACCATAGTGTTGTTAAGCTGGGGAGCGGAGGAGCCAAAGTACATGGGATCAGTTGAATGGTTGGAGGTACTGTAAATGCCTTAGTCTCATTAGAAATAACAAAGCAAAACTAGTGCAACTTGTTGTCCTAACTACGAAGCTATAAAGTTAGCATTTAACTTCAAGTTTAAGAAGCTTCACCACGTTGATACAAAAAACAAAGCGAGC